AGCACTTACATTTTTGTTGTTATTGGTGTTCAGTGTGGTTTCTTTAAACCAGGGAGGGGGGTACAACAGAGGGGGGCCTTTCTCCACGCTCTTATTTATCCTATCTTCTGACGATTTCAGCAGATGTATTAAAAATCTTGTGGGGGCAGGTTATTTGAAGGCCATTGCTCCGAACAGAACAGATTGCAATATATTCCTTCTTGCTATGGCTGATGATCTCTTAGTTTTCTTAAATTGATCCACAGCTGACTTGCTTAAGTTTATGAAATTCCTCCTTCAGTATCAGAAAGCTTCAGGGCATTTGGTTAATTTCAACAACTGTCATTTTGTTACTTCTTCCAAGCTGCCCACTGTCAGGTTTTAAATCGATGGGGAAAGCTTTGGGTATGGTAGCGTCTAAACTGCCTATAAGGGACCTGGGCTCACATCTCTCTAAGGGGGTTAACAGGGTTGCTTGATGTACTCAATTGCTTCAACATTTGGATGCTAAGTTGAATGGATGGTATAAAAAGCCTACTTAGCCAGGCTGGGAGACTCATCCTTATAAAGCATGTTATGTCTTCTATTCATAATTTCCTACGCTATCCAATAGAAGAGGGTGGACTGGGAATTACGAACTTCAAAGAAAATACAGGAGGCCTTTTCAAGTAAGCTTTGGTGGAGATATCACAAAAAGGAATCCCTTTGGAGTATGTATATGTTTGCTGAGTATGGCAGTAGAGGACATTTTGTTCGTATAGATTATGATTCCCATGGATGGAAAAGGCTGCGTAGGAAACACTCATTTTGTGAAGAAAGGTGTTCTTTCACAGTGGATGGGCCTATTTGCCTTTTACTCTCAAATTGCGTTATGAGGAATGTAGTAAGGCTTAGTTTCTTTTCTAAGCCTACTCTTCTTTCTTATGTGGGGGCAACTCACAAAAGGATGCAATTAAGGTGTTCCTTATGGAGACTTTTTAATAAAGGTTTACTACCTGTGAGTGATAACCTAACCAGGTTGGTTTACTAGTGTCCTCTGCCCTCCAGGTCATTGATGCAGGGAGGGAGGTGTTTCACCAACTTTTCAAAGCGGCAAATCAGGGTTGTGAAATACTCATCAGGTCTTACCTCCGCGCTGAAAGCTCAAATTTGAACAGGAATGCTTCCCATGGGCGAGCAATTGCAGGTGGAGTGATTTTGAGAATCAAACAAAGATTCCACAACAAAACCTATAGCCCACAATGTAAACGCACTCTGTTTCAGAATCATTTTCTTGTCTAATCAAGAAGTTCATGGACGGAGCTCTCATCATTGATGCTGTTGACAATGCAAAGGTAATGAATGCCACCGGATA